CATCTGTGTTTGGGGGAGCCTAGGACTCCTTCATCCTGCCAGCGTGATCTCCTTGATCTCCGAGGAACAGGATAGAAAGGTGCCCTTCCTGCTGGCTATTGAGAAGGAAGTTTCCTCTTTCACCTACTCACCTACTATCCCGGACTTGGAGCTGGAACTGGGTGACCAGAAACCGTATTTATTCCACATTTGGGCAAATGACTCCTACTGGCCGACCCGAGTTCGATTCCTCCGCCCCTCTCGGAGAGCCCCGCAAGCTACCGAGAATATTCGATATGCCAGACACAGTAACAACAAAGTTTCCAATGGAGACGTTACTGGGCCCGCTCGAGCAAATCGATGATCAATGGGAGGGCCTTTACCTTTTACCTTTACCTTAGGGAGATCACAGAGACCAGCAGTCATGGTCCCCAAAGTGCCCCCAAGGGTCTATGGGGCTTCAATGGTACCCTTACTTTCAGGATGCTTTCAGATACTCACTGAAGGTTGGGATCACAGTTGCCCATAAGGAGAGAGACATGACGTGAGACAAGGTCTGGATAGGCATCCAAGACTTGAACTGGGGCCCAGGGAGGAGGTGAAATGCCCCCACCCCCTTTTTGCAGCTTCTTCCCTTTTTTCTTTGCAGCCAGAACAGCTCAGCAAAAGGTGGGGCTCCTGGAGGCAGGAGGCTCCTGGAAGTTGCTCCAAGAGCGCTGATCTCAACCACCCTGAGACATATCGTTAATTTCTTCAAGTTCTGCTTCTATTACCCAGGTCATCCGAATCACTGGCAGATCTTGTTGAAATGCAGGTTCTAGTAGGTAGGGCTGAGACGGAACATTTCTAGCCAGCTCCAGGGGCGGAGGGTGGGGGGAAATGCCTGTGCAGTGGGTTTAATTTATGGCTCACGAGCAGATCTACTGAGGGCCTAGCCCTAGTTTCACTAACTCTCTCTCTCCACCCTTCCTTGCAAAAATTCAAGGAAGAAAGGGGGAAAGAGAAAGAAAGGAAATAGAGTGAAAGAGAAAGGAACATGAGAAATAGGAGAAAGTAGAGAAAGAAAACAAGAGAAAGAGAAAGTAAGAAAAAATGAAAGAAACAGATAAAAAGGAGAAAGGACAACAAGAGAAAGAGTAAAGAAAATAGAAAGTGCAAAAGAGAGAGGAGAGCGAGAGTGAGAGAGAAAGAGGGAGGGAAGAAGGGAGGGAGGGAGAGAAAGAAAGAGAGAGAGACCCCGGTGAGAAGGGGAGGGAGGATGGAAGGATAGAAGGAAGGAGCTGGTGAGTGTGAGGGAGAGAGGAACCTGCCACTTTGTTTCCTAGATGGTGAAACTGAGGCTGACTCAGTGCAGGAAAGAACTTGTTCAAGATGTCACAGCAACTCAGTGACAAAGTGGAGACACAGGCCCTTGCACAAACAGAAACCAGGAGAGATTCTGCGGTCCTGCTTTCTCTGGGCCAAGTCTGAATTTTCTTGATTTTCCTTTTTTATAATACGTAATACAATGTACAGATTTTGTAATAAAATTAATTTTAGTGAAAATCCGCACCAAGTTCTTACGCCAGGCAATTCCGTTTGCGAATCTGTAGGGAAAAGCTGGAAGGGCTCACAGCAGCTTCCTGTCCTAGGGTGTACTTCCATTCACTCCACCCGGAATGCCTTTCCGAGAGGCTGTCCCTGCTATTCCGGGCAATCTTGAATCTCAGGGGATGGTGCCAGCGCACTGAGCAGCTCTCTTCTCCAGCACCTAGGCTTCTGCGGGCTGGTACCCCCAAAAGTGCTGGCTCCAAGAACCCTTTCCCTTAAATTGGGGAGAAGATGATTCCCTAATCCGTTTTCGTAGTGAATGACCTTGGGCCAAGTCTGCTTTTGTTGCTGGTTTCCTAAGCTTAATTGCAAGCAAAGTTAATTTGAAAGAAAATAAATGTTACAGCTCTGGGGCAAATTCTAACGAGCCTAGGGCAATTAGGGAAGAACGCACCTAATTACTACAGCCTGGAGGGGGCCTACACACAGAGCTGCGTGGATAGGGCCCATAGAGTGGCAAACGGATTTGCTGTTTTCACGTTAGAAAGAAAGAAGCAAACAAAAAACCACAAATTAGAAAGACAGAGCAAACAATCCGCCCCCTACCCCCACCCCAAAGTTAGAAAGAAAGAAGTAGAGGGTATGAGCGCACCCTAAGCAATCACTTTGTGGGGAAGCGCCCTGGGAGATCCTTGCTTTGGGGAGACTTGGAGTTGGAGTGTGCCAATACATTGTAATGCAGAGTGCTCAAGGTTCTAGAATCACTTGGATGTGAGGATCTGTCCATGACCCCAGGAGACCCCCGACTCTCCTGAGCTCTATGACCTGGCCTGGGAGGCCAAAAAGGCTGAAGCTTCCTTCACCTTCTCTAAGCCCCCCTTCCCCATCTCAGCTCTCTGGCCCCAGCAGCCCTACACACCTGCTCTGTCCTCTCTCTCCCTTGGCACAGTCTCAGCACCCAATCTGACAAAGAAAGGGAGAGCGGGGGAGACGGTGTCTCCTACCCCACCAGGCTGCCGGGAGGTGATTTTATTTCGAAGCTCTTCCTCCCTCCACCCAGCAGCATAGAAAGTCTTTTTCTGCACTCATCTCCTACTTTGTTTTTTTCTGCACTCATCTCCTACTTTGGTTTTGGGAGGACCCTGGTTTCCATTCCATGAAGGACATTAGGGAAGAAGTCCTGGCTAAAGATTCCTGGGCTCTCAGGGATGCTCAAGTTGGGCATGAAAAGACAGAGTCAAAAAAAAAAAAAGAAAAAAAGAAAAGAAAAGGCAGAGTCATCTCCGCACTAGGCCCTTAGCTCCCGCTGGGCGCTGGGCTGGGCTCTCACCAAAGACAGAATCCCTAGGTGCCAGGCTCTCCAGTATCGGCTACTGCCAACCAAGCGTGGAGTGCATCTTCGATGTGGGAGAGCTGGACCGGCAGAGAGGACCTTGAAGTTTCACACCTGCAAGAGTCTACGGTGGACATGAAGATGATGCTGTTACTAAGATGTTCCCAAAATCACAGGGCTGGAACTCGAACTGAGCCCTGGGGAGTAGGTCCGTGTTCTGGTTCGCTTCCTCTTCTTCCAGTGGGGTCGGTCACTTCACCCAGGTCTTTGTGGTCCAAGCTCTAGGCCTGTTCTGTCCAATCCAGCAGCTTCTGGTCAGACGTTGCTCACATGTACCCAGCAGGATTTAATCCGAATTTAGATGCACAGGCTATGCAAAATGCACTCATTCCAGACAGTACAGACTAGCTATGGGAAGAAAAGAGCAGCATATCTCAGTATTTTCATATTAATCATTGACACGAAAAATTGGATGTTGGGTTAAATACAATATACCATGAGTTCATTTTCACCTTTTTTTTATTACTGTGGCTACTAGAAAAATGTATATTACACACATGACTTGCATTGTACTTCTATCAGGCAGTACTGATTTAGACAAATACCCGTCTGGATTAATCACATTCACATGTCTTTGAGAATAGGCGAGCGCAATCCCCCAACTGAAACATTATCAATGGTTTTCATCCTCGTCTTTTTCATACATACCCCTACCCTTCCCCCCCAAATGAACTACGCAGAAAAAAGCTGAGTTTCTCTGCTTAGAACACATTTGCTCAAAGATTAAAACAAAAACAGAAAACCAGTTCATTGGAACACCCAGCTGTTTCGGGAAAGCTCTGTGGGGTCTCTGAAACATTGAAGGTCAGAAATGCTCACTCCAGAACCCAAGTTTACAAGGTTTCTCGGGAGAAAGCTGAGAAAGTGGATTCACTGAATTTTGCCTCAAAACAAAGCTCGAATTCCAGTTGTTTTCCTATGCTTATGTTATGGACCCGTGCCTTTTCTCTGCATTTTGCACGGGGAAGCTGCTGAGGTATGGCAGAGGAAGTGAAGGAGGGAAGAGCCAATTCCAGCTCCTGAAAAACGGTCGCCCAGGGCGTCCTCAGAGTCTGGTCATCCCTTAACCATCAGATCCCCCATTGTGGCCAGGGCTGTTTGATGAAAACTGAAGGGACAGACGCACTTCGACATGCCTCATCAGCAAACTGCACTTATGGCCCAGCGGGAAGAGCTGCAGAATGATCTGAGCACATCAGGCTCCAAAGAGTCAAGAAAGTTATGATGTAATGACTGCCCGGAGCGAATTCGACACTTTGGGATGACACTAGCCATGAATTCCCTCCCGGTTCCCTGGAACAGCACTAGTTAGGCTCTGGATGAGTATTGGGGACTGTGGGGTGTAAGCACCGAAGTTGCCTAGTACACGGGACAGCAACCTTGATGACGGTCGCTGGGAGGTCGCAGGGGCCGGAGTCCAATTCTGCAGCCCTCCTGGCTAATAAAGGGGGGACTGCATGACATAACTGGTTCCAACACTGGCTGGCCAGGTCAGCGTTCTCAGAGGTCGCGAAAACCAGCCCACGTTTACGCGGAGTAGAGGGATTTCGCTAGTAAAGGGGAAAAATAAGCCTCAAAACCTATTTTTTGCAAACCTTGTTGTCACCTTAAGGAAGGCACGGTCGAACTGTTGCAATTTAGTACAAGGCGAGAGGTCCAATCCCTTAATTGGGGTGTGTGTGTGGGGGGGGGGGCGAAGGTCCGAATTTCGTGGCGTCCAGGGAAGAATAAAATAATGTGATTCCCCACACGTGGGCCCCTGACTGGTGTGGCCCCCGTCCACATAGCTGCGTCCCCTCGACCCAGCAAGGGCCCTCCCGCAGCGTGTGAGAAAGGCAAGTCCTCTGGGGGTCCTTTGTCCCGGTCCTGGGCGAACTGCACCCCGCCCCGCCGCCTCTCCCGTTTCTTTCCAGAGCGACGCCGGGGCGCGTGCTGGTGCCCGGCGGCGGCCGCTGTCCTGCCCGCGGGCTCTCCGCTCCGTCTTCTCTCCGGGTCGCAGGGGCGCGGGGGGGGCTGGGCGGGTGGGTGGGGAGCTACTAAAGTTCGCGTGGGCCCCCGAGGTATCGAACAGGCATTCTCCTCCGTCCGCGCGCTCGGCTCACATGGCGGGCACGAACCGATCCACCGCGCCCGCATAGGCGGCCGCGTGGCGAGCGTGGTAGGCGCCGCCGCCGCCCGCCGCCAGCTGCGCGCCGGGGTTGTAGCAGGGCCCCAGCGGCGCGCCGAAGTGGCCGGGCGACGCGCGCCCGTAGAAATCCGCCGCGGTCTCCACCAGGCCGGCGCCGCCGCCCGCGCCGCCCGCGCCGCCGCCGCCGCCGCTCCCGGCGGGGGGCGAGGCGGGCCCCGCGGCCAGCCGACCCGCGAAGAGGGCGCCGCCGCCCGCGCCCTGCGGGTACGCGCCGTCGGGGCCCGCGTAGGCGGCCGCGTAGGCCGCGGGGTTGGCGGGGCGCGCCCCCGCGCAGCCGGCCGCCGCCGGGTAGCCGGTGCCCGCGCCCCCCGCCGCGGCGCCCGCGGGGGCGAAGGCGCACGAGCCCGCGGGCCCCGACGGCGCGGGGCCGAGTTCGGGGCTGAGCGGGCGCTCGGGCGCCACCAGGCCGAAGACGCGGCACGGGCCCGGCGACGCGGCCGGGTAGTAGACGGGCGGCGGCGGCGGCGGCGCGTAGCCCGCGTAGACGGCGCCCGGGTAGGGCGGGCGCGCGGCGGGCACGGCGCCCGGGAAGATGGCCGCGGCGGCCGCGGCGGCGGCGGCGGCGGCGGCGGCGGCGGCCGCGTCGTGCATGTAGGCCGGGTAGGTGGACAGGTCGGAGCGCTTGAAGCGCTTGCGGCGGCGCAGGAAGCTGCCGCTCTCGAACATGTCCTCGGCGTTGGGGTCCAGCGCCCAGTAGTTGCCCTTGCCCGGGCGGCCGGCCTCGCGCGGGATCTTGAGGAAGCAGTCGTTGAGCGTGAGGTTGTGGCGGATGCTGTTCTGCCACTTCTTGGGGTTGTCGCGGTAGAAGGGGAAGCGCTCGGTGATGAACTTGTAGATGCCGCCCAGCGTCAGGCGGCGCTCGGGCGCGTGCGCTATGGCCATGGCGATGAGCGCGATGTAGCTGTAGGGCGGCTTCCCGCGCTGCAGGGGCCGCTTGCGCCGCCGCCCGCCCGCGCCGCGGCCCGCCGCCTCGCCGGGGACCCCCGCCGCCGGCTCCCCGCGCTCCTCCTTCACCGACGCCAGCGTCTCGGGCTGCGGCGGCGGCGGGGGCGGCCCGCTCTCGGCCGTCATGGTGCGGCGGCGGTGGTGGGGGGGTCCCTGCCGCCGCCCGCTGGGCTCGAGGGTCGCGAGGTGTGCGAGTTGCGTTGCGGCGGGGTCCCGGACACGGCGTCGCGGGAGCCCGCGGGCCTGGCCCCCGTGCCGAGCGCGCGCTCGCTCGCTCGCTCGCAGGCCGGGGAGGGGCGCGCGCTGCAGGTCCGGGTGCCCGCGGTGCCCGCGGCGGGGTGGTGGCTCGGCTCCCAGCGGGGTGCGGCAGAGTCCCGACCGCCGACGGCTCGGCTCGAGGCAGTGGGCAGCTCGAGGCCGGCGGCGTGGACACCCGCGAGTAGGTAGGTCCCGGCCGCGGTTTTCAAAACTTCAAGCCAAGCCTTGGCGTGCCGGTGTCAGGCCGTCAGGAAAGGTCCACAAGCGCTCCTGGAGCTGGGATGCCCGCTGGTCCTGGAGCACCCGTCGAGGTCTGGCGCACAGAGGGAGGCCGCGGGGGGGCACCCCCGCAGGCCTTTCGCAAAGGCCAGTTAGTGCAGGAGCGCGGCCCGCTGTAGGGCCCCCGCGGACGCGCCCCTGGGCTCCAGGCTGCGGGCGGCGCGCTCGGAGCGCCAAGGAGAGGAAGAGGCGCGGGTGGCGAGGCTGGGGCGCGGGCCAGACGGAGCGGCCGGCCGGCGACTGCTCCTCTCTGGAGCGATGGCCTCCAGCCGCCCGCACCGCTGGTGAGGCGCTTCCCCCCGCGTACACCTGGGCCGGCTCCTCCCTCTGCCGGCTTCTCCTTAAAGCCGCCGGGAAACTCGGGGCGGCGCCCGTTCCCCGCCCGCCCTCCCTGCCCCCCGAACTGCCCGCCCCCTGGGCCCAGGCGCACCTCCCCAGGTAGGCGCAGCGCAGGACGGGCTGCGCGGCGGGAGCCCCACAACGTCAGAGCGGGGAGGGCGCTTGGGGAGTCCCCCCACCCCCACCCCACTCCCGGCCGACGGGGAGAATCGAGGCCCGGAGAGGCCAGGGACAGGTTTGGGGCAGACCTCGGTGCTTGGGGTTTTTCTGGCTTCCGCCGGGGTGGAGAGTGGACGGGAGTCTCCGGGTGGAGGAAGAAAAGGCTCGCGCCCCATTTCCCCGTTTTGGCCCCAGTGCTTCGGCTCCTGTGCGAGGGGGGACGGTGGTGGTTTTCAGGTTCCCCAAGATCTTCCAGGACGGTTTTCAAAACTTCAGGCAGTGGGTGGCTCTGCCCCGCGTGGTCTGAACCCGCTGCAGCCTGTGGCTTTTGCAAGGGAGGATGCCCGAGCTCTGGGCGGGAAGGTGACGCGCGGATGCCCCAACGCGGCGACGACCCGGCGCTTAGCGGACTCTCACCGGCTGCTCCTCGGGCTGGACCGCGCGTCCCGCTGGGAGGCCCCGCGCGGCCACTTTCCCTCTTTGGGTGGCGCGGTCACGACTGTGCGGAGGGTTCGGATCTCGATCGCCAGTGTTGCCTGGAAAGACTGTTCCCCGCCCATCAGTTTTGCGGGGGACTCGGGGCCCTTCTCTTTGCCCTCTGTAGAGAGGGCGCACGGCGTAACCAGGACGGAGGCTAAGCGGTAACATCGCTCCCCGCTTCTGTAGGCCTGCGGGGCGCCCAGGTGGTTCCCGAAGACACACCTGCCCGCCTCCCAGACGGTCCCAGCCCGCAGCGGGGCTTGAAGGGGGGAGTTTTGGCGGGTGGGTACGTTTCTGGAGAGGGGTCGGGCGAGTTTTGGAGGGTGGGCACGTTCGTGGAGAAGGGTGGTTGGGAGAGTTTTGGCAGGTGGGCACGTACCTGGAGAGGGATTGCATCGCGGGGGTCTGGTTTTGGAATTCGTTGCCTACCGCTCTGGGTCCCCGCAGGCGGGACTGAGGCCTGGAGGGAGAATGCGGGTGCAGGAGTACTGCTGGCCGGCGCGCGCTCTGTGCGCCTGCCGCGTTCCCCTCTGTGGGCTCGACTTTCTCTTCAGTGAGTTGCTGGAGGGAGGGCTAGTGCGGGTCCCCTTCTGGCTACCTTCACGGTTCCTGACCGCGTGCTCGATCTGGGCGTTCCAGCCCAGACGTGGGTTGGTGCGGGCAGCGTGGCCTTCCATGGTGTTAGCTGTGTTTTTGTTGCGCGGAGCCGCGGGCAGGCGCATCCGGGTGCAAAGCTCCGTTACTGAGGTCAGAACAAACGGTCGGCGCCGGGCGTCTGCGGTGTTGACGCGGTTTCGCGCCACGGAATGGAACGGGCTTTCCATTCTCTCCCCAACGTTTTCCTCCTCGTTTTCCTTCTTCCAAAGTAACGAAATGTAAAAATCCCTCGTTCTGCCTGTTAGGATTTTCCAAGATTTACCCAGACCGTTCTTAGTAGTGTTGGAATATGGGATTCTGTGGTTCTTTGTATTTACAAGATTTTGAGATTCAGGTGAACAGTTTTTAATTTTTGGACCATTATTCACAAATTAAAGAATTCCATAATTTGATCCCACAAGTTTTAGAATCTGATTTTGTAGCACTAAGATACTAAGATTCCAATAATCTTAGTTTTCCTTTCTTCCTTTGTTTTCAAACGTGATATTTCTATGACTTTAAGCTTTTAAGCAAACTAAAAGCGCATTCCTTAACGTATTAAGATGCTAGGACTAAGTTTTTGTCTCTGAAAATATGATGCTACTACTGGGATCTGCAGCATCTCATATATATTAAATATATATATACACATATATGTGTATATGTATATGCTTTTTGCAGCTTTAAAGTGTATGTTACTTCATTTGAATTACTGTTTATGAATGTCGGGGGAGAGATTTAAGTCCTCTAAATCCATGTCTTTTTTAAATTCCGAATTGCTCTGTAACTCAAAGATTATACTTTGAATATTCCTTCCTTCCTTCCGCTCTTTCTTTCTTTCTTTTTTTCTTTCTTCTTTCCTCCTTTTCTCCTTCCTTCTTTCCTTCCTTCCTCCCTCCCTCCAGGACCAGATATATGTAAGGCAAGTGCCTACCAATGATTTACATACCTGATCCCCTGCCCTTTCTAATAATACTTACACTCTATGTGAACATAAGCTTTACTGATTAGCCTAGCGCCTTTATAATTCTCTACTTTTAAGCTTCAATGACTGTGCGTAGAAGCTTTTGTGCTTCAGAATTTCTTGATTTTTGATGTTCTTGTATCTGTGGATTCATTTTTCTAGAATTCTTATTTCTCTTCTTCAAACTTCTGCCACCAGACCAAGAATTCATTAGAGTTTTGAGATGAGAATACTAAAATCACGGTTCTAGGATGATCAGGCATAAAGCATCCTTTGCCATAGTATTTTATTCTAATGACACATTTCAAAATTCTGTGCTTTGAATCTACAGTGTGAAATTTGAGTTTATATATAGCTGGATAAGTGAACAGGAACCATTTACCCGTTTGGATCAAAACTATAAAGATCTCAGTGCCAGGATGTTCTGCACTTTTGCTTCTGGTGGCAGTTCTTAACTTTTGTAGGGACAACAGACCCCCGTGGAGAAGTGTTTATAAAGCCACCCACAGTGGGGGTCCAGCCCCTTAGAAACCAGTTCAGTTGTCCAGCAGAGGCGGGCTGTTTGAATATGGGAGGATCCATTTCAACTTTTTCTTCATCCTTGCCCAGCACCCCCTGGAGACACCGACCCAGGCCCCTCCCCTCCCTTTGTTAATTGGGAGCTGAGCTGGAGGACTGTGAGCTGTAGATCTGGAAGTTACCTGCAGGAGTTTTGAAGTGCTCTTGAAAGCTTTGTAAGTAAAGAAGGGGACCCCAGGAGTGGGAAAATTCCCTCCCACCCTTATTGTAGATGTGTCTTCATGCAGACCCAGTGGTGACTAACCCTTCTCAAGGAAACCTTGGAAATTTGAGCTGGACAGAATCCAGGCGCAGATTGCAGAAGGGATTTGCGCAGTCTTAGGGAAAGAAGGTTCAGTGCTCAGCAGAAAGCTTGGGTCTGGGTTTTCTACCTCCTTCCCCCAACACCCCTGCCCCCCATCTTTGGTCATTTCCTCAAGTTTTCAGAGTCTCCCATTTGCTTAATGGCTTGACCTCACCTGGTTCATCCCCTCTTACCTAGTGATAATGGAAACTTCAGGCCTGATGCTTACAAGTCAGACTTTAGAATCTCAGTCCTGGGGAAGGCAGTGACTTCTAGTTTCTCTGGGATAGTAACTGAGGGTCAACTGACCACTACCTAGAACATCTCAGAGTAAAATCTCCATGTTCCATCCTTCTGACCTCAAGCTTTAGCAGCTCCTTAGCTTTCTGCTGCACTTTTCAGACTGCAGCTTGTCCATCTGTATAGCAGGGGAATTTCTTGTCAGTCCTCCCTCTTCCGGAGAGTTGAGAGGGAGGCCTGGGGGGTGGCTCCAGCATAGGGTACTTGCCTTGCATGTGTATGAGATCCTGGGTTCCACCCCCAGCCCTGCAAAACAGCCAACCCATCTATCAAAGACAGCAGTCAGGGGCCGGAGTGATAGTACAGTGGGTAGGGCATTTGTCTTGCACGCGGCTGACCTGGGTTCAATTCACAGCATCCCATATGGTCCCCTGAGCACTGCCAGGAGTAATCCCTGTGCATTGCTGGGTGTGACCCAAAAAGAAAAAAAATGACAGCAGTCAAATGTCCATCTCAGCAGAGCATTTGACACATGGAAGTATGATGCATGTTCCTGTCATTTTGTTTTCAGGGAGAAATGGGGAGTGGAATGAGGGGTGAGATTAGCTTCTGGGGAAAATTCAGGTCATTGGCACACATGGGTGGAGATGAGAAGGAGCAGGTGGGTTAAACAGTGAGATGTGCCCCAGGGTCTATCCGAGTTCCACTCTCCCGTGTCCAAAAGTGCATGGCTCCCGGCACCACTCCGGAAAAGTTCGGAGCGCTGTGGGGCAACCAGTTCCCAGCACATTCTTGCTCTTGGTTCCTTAAACACCCTGCATGGAGGATCCTCTCCATGTGGGTCTCTGGCACGGGCAGCTCAGGAGTCCCCAGAATACCGAGAAGCTGCTTTGTAGTAGGGGCCGAAAG